AATTTGTTCATAATTTACCAGTTTTTGATATGCTTATAGTTTATTTTCTTTTTTTTTTGCCTCTGCCGACTAACATTCCACATTCCCAAAAGTACAGTTTTGGCCAAGAATGCCGAATTGTGTTTTTGGAAAATTTTCAAAGATAGATAAAATTCACAGAAATTTTAATACACTTTCGTAGCGGCACACTTAGCTACCAAGAAAAATTCCATGCTTTTTTCTTATTTTATTTGAAAATGGCTTATTTTCAACGTTTTTTTTAAAGCCTATTTTGGGTTTTTCTTGAGCCAGTCTAATTTGGCCCATTTGTTCTTTTTTTTCCAACCAGGCAACTTGGAACTTCCCGAGCTAATTCTAGTACCATTTCAGTTAACCCCCGTTAGCTGAGTGGTAAATTAATTCTTTAGTCATTAAAATAATTGCAGTTATTGACGATTAAGAGGTGGGAAGAATGAAAGAGGGAGTTGTCAAAGAATAGGCATAGGCGGATTCTGGATGGACTCCTGTGGAAGAGGGGGAGGGGATGAGAGGTGGGGAGGAGAGTCTCCTCACATCCTCGAACCATGAAACAAGTAGAGGAATAGAGTTGTAATATTGTTACCTAGAGTTACTTTAGGTTTTAGTTTTAGCTTTAGACACGGAATTTTGCAGCACAGGTGCCCGTGCCGCTAGATCCGTGGGGAAGGGAGGAGGGGGGAAACCCGAACAGATGAGGTAAATGAAAGAAAGTAATTCTGAAGAGAAATATTTAGCCCGATGCTTTTACATTGTACTTTATACACCTCTCTAACCAACTTCTGCACCAAAACTCCTCCTCTGAATTCTTAGATTCGGCTCCCCTCCCGACCAGCCACCTCCCCCACCTTAACATTTTTTTCGATCGTTTCATAATGGACGATTTTGTCAATCCCTTCTCCGGCACTTTGCTCCACTTCAGCGCTCCTGCTGCCTGCAGTCTGTACGTTAATGCACTGTTGCACACTACTTCGCAAAGAGGTCATGCTCTCACACGCACTTGACTTAACTGTTAAATTTTGCTCTAGCCTGACATCAATTTGCTGCATGCATTTGCACTTTTTTCTCCAGGAATTGGCGAAGAAATTCACCACCGTTAAGGAATAATTCGAATTCTGTCGCCTATCGAATGCCCAGAGCATGTTTTAGAAGAGGCGGCGGAAGTATGTTATTTTTTTTCTGTCTCTCTCTTCAATTTATTTATCATTATAAATCTTACAATGTTTTTTTTTTGTGTTTTTTTTTTTTCAATGAACGAATGCACTCAGTAAGTAGGAAGAGATGCACTTTCTTGGCCCAAAAAAAAAATCCCCACAAACTTAGCAGATAGTTTTGGTACTCACTTTTTTGGCCCGAAATTTTCACACAATCCGCAATGTTTTCAAAGGTTTTTCCAAAATTTGTACAAAAATGCACTTTTTTTGCCCAAAAATCCTGTCAGTTTTCACACAGTTTGGAGATTTTTCCTAAAAATTTGTGAAAAAATTTGTTGGTTAAGTTTTACCCACAATTTTTTTCTAATAATTTTTCTTTCACTCTAGATATTGCCTGCATTAGCATTAACTTTAATTTTTACTCGATAAAAAAATGCTGCCGATAACTTTGCCCGATAAAAAAAAACAGCATTTTTCACTGCAATAAGACAGATGCAGGCGGTGACCCATAATGAATACGCATGAGAAAGCATGCATTGTTAGTAGCAAAACTGTTAAATGATGGATGGTACTTTGATAGCATGAAAAATCTGTATCCTTGTTTTTTTGGTACCAGTTCTTGAGGAGAACAGACTGGGATTCATGGAAAAGTCAACCCCGCCCTCCTCCTCCTCCCCCCTCCTCTTCCCCCCAATCGTGTTCATTCGTTATAAGAGGCAAAGGTATTTAGAAATATTCCAGAGGTGGCATAAACACCAAAAAGCAACCATCCGCTAGCAAAGCTGTCAGTAAGAGGGTTATTTAGAAGCAAGCTGATGATTTTCAAAAAAAAAAAATAATAATTTTCAGGAGCAAGAGCGAATTATCGCGGGAGCAACCAGATGAGTCGGATTGCACCCT